TCCTGGCCCCCAGAGCGCTGCGCACATGGCGGCATGGCTCCAGGGGGAGAGGGGAGCGTGTCTGCCTCCCCGCAGAGCCCCGGCCCCCAGAGTGCTGTGCGCCGGACAGCACGGCTCCAGGGGAGGGGGAAGGCAGGGGAGGGGCCAGCAGCTTGCTGTGATCGGCTGGGTGCTCCGGCCTGGGAGCACAGATCCCAAAGCTTGCCGCACTAGGAGAGGGTGGCCATTTGCCCACTCCTGCATTAGGGTGTGCCTGGGCACACCCTGCACACCCCGTGCACACACACGTACGTGTGTGTGTGTGTGTGTGTGTGTGTATATGTGTGTCACGTGTTCTCTCCCTGAAGAAGGACAACAGCATCTACTGCAGGATATACGATGCATTTTAATTAATGAGTTAATTACTCCCCCGGTGGCTTTCACAGCATTTCTCCCAAACTGCACTGAGTATATCCCAGTAGACATCTCCCTTTCAGAGAGATTGGGGCCAAATGGGAAGCTGTAAGAAAATCCTCTCCCTTGTGATCACAATGTATAGTCAATTGTCAGGATGTGAAGAATGCTGGGTTTTGAATCTCAGTCATTCAACCCAGCCACTCTCCAGAGCCAGCAGGGGAGGGGCTAGTGGAACTCTGGCCCACCAGAGGATCTACCTATGAAGCTCCTGATTGGAGCAGACATTCGGATGCATGAATTACGCCAGCAGGAGTCACTGGAAGTTGTCCAAACAACTGAGTGAACTCCCGATCTGCTGCTGGACTGGACCCTGACTCTGGCTTGGCCCAGGCGTTGTCTCTGACTCAGGTTTGACCTGCAGTACAGGTCTGTCACATCTTACGCGCATTTAACATGCACAATTTCATCTTTATGCAGTCGGCAAAAACAAAGAGAAAAATAACAATTTTAATACTGTACCTGTAGTGCGGGCGATTCTGCCCGCCATTACACTCAATGTAATTTTGACTATACGCAATTTTCGCTTTACACGCTGACTGTGGAACGTAACCCCAGCGTAAGATACGACAAACCTGTACTGCTATCTGACTCCAGCTTAACCCTTCGTGTGGCTGCCTGACTCTGACTCCAGTCCTGATCCCCCCCTGTGACTCCAGACACTGATTCTGGCTCAGCCTTTGGCATATCTCTTGAGATTGACTGTAGCCCCAACCCTTGCTGAGATCCTGACTTTGACTCCAGCTCTGACTTTGGCCGTAGTTCCCAATTTCCAACTGCAGCTCTGAGCAGTAGGCCTGATGGCTCATGTCCTGGTCTCTATACTGATGTGTTAGAGATTGTAAAGAAACTCTCTTGTAAGACTGTATGAAAGGTCATCAGGCTCCATCCATGTTCCTGACCAGCCCTTTCCTTATTTCTTATAGAAACAGACAGAAACCGAGAGGCAGAAGATTGTGTCTGAATTTCAGCAACTGCGGCAGTTCCTGGAGGAACAAGAGCGACTCCTGCTGGCCCAGCTGGAGAAGCTGGACGAGGAGATTGTGAAGATACAGAATGAATATATCACCAAACTCTCCGAGGAGATTTCCTGTCTCAGTGAGCTGATCAGTGAGATGGAGGGGAAGTGTCAGAAGCCAGTGAGTGAATTTCTGCAGGTGAGACTGAGCTAGAAACATCCCAGATCCCCACACAGGGACAGGACAGCTGCTGAGCTACGGGCACAGGGGGTCCAGCAGTCAGAGATCTCAGTGTAACTCGGCATGTGCATTGCTGAAATGTGAATGACGATTATTCTTTGCAAATTCACAGACGCAGAGATATTAAAGATGGAAAAGCCCCATTAGCTCAGTGAAACCATGGCCCTGGGGCCAGGGCAGGGCTCATTTCCCCTGTATTTGAAAAATCCCTTTCCTAGAATCCCAAGTGTGTGTCAGGTGGTGCTGAGATTTTTTTTTAATCTCTTTCCTCTCTCCCCCCTCTAGGATGTCAGAAGCACCTTGAGTAGGTACGTGGCTCTCTCTCACTCCCACACATACTTGGCAATGATGGGAAAGAGCATGAAGATGATGTTAGCACTGCATCTCCTCAGCAACATTATGTGGGGAAGGTCACATTTTGGATACAAATCTCTCAGATAAATTTAATCCAGAGGTTCTGACCCTGGTACAGAAGACTCTGGAATTCTCCATTCAGTGGGAAGGACTGACCTCAAGTGTTTCCTAGAGATGTCACCTCCCCGAGGGAATGGCTGCCTCAGGATTGTGGGGATGGAATATGGGCCTGTCACTGCTGGGGCCCTGGTCACCATTCAGCCCAGGGCAGCAGTGGTCAAGAGTCTTTCCCAGCCTGAGGGTTGTTAGGAGACCTGTGTGGAATGAGCTGGGGGAGGGGGGAGAGGAGTTGGTGTCAGTCTAGTTTCTAGTGGTCAGATTTCTACAGCACTTCACATAGGAACCTCCTGTCCCTCAGAGCATGGAGGCCAAGGAGTGAATTGGACATGGAGACTCTTTAGTCCCCAGAGCTGATCTCTCCAGACCAGAGTTGAAGAATACTAATGAGTCCTTTGAAGGGAAGGTTGTACGGCCATGGGCTGTGTTGCACCTGCTGTTGGGGCTTGGAGAAGTCGAGGTCCAGGCCCATTAGAGCAGCAACTCACTAGCCAGAACTTATGAGTCACACAGTGAAATATAATCACATGAAATTGTTTCTCTCTAGGTGTGAGAAGGGGAAGTTCCAGCAGCCAGAGGAGATTTCTCCTGAACTGGAAGAGCGAGTCAGTGGTTTTTCCCAGCAAACAATTGTGCTATCGGAGACTCTGAGGAAGTTCAAAGGTACCTAAAACGGATCTAGGAATGGAAATTGGGATGAATCTCTGAGACTGTGGGAAGAGAATGGTGCTGGTCAATTGGTTCACATTTACATGATGCTACTATTTAATTGTTGGGTGAGAATGCCAGACACTTAGTTCCAAGACACTCAGGTTGATTAATTCAAACCTTTGTTTGCACCAAAAACATGCCTTTCAATTACAATTACAAAGTAAGAAATGACTCATAGACTTTAAGGTCAGAAGGGACCATCATGATTCATCTACTCTGACCTCCTGAACATTGCAGGCCACAGAACCTCCGCACCCACTCCTGCAATTTACTCCTAAACTCTGGCTGAATTACTGACGTCCTCAAATAATGATGTAAAGACTTCAAGTTAGAGAATCCACCATTTACAGATGTTAAACTAGAATAAATGATACGTGCACCATATGGCAGAGGAAGGCAAAGCAAACAAATAACCAAAACCCTAGGGTCTCTGGCAATTGGACTTGGTTGAAAATTCCTTCCCTATCCCAAATAAGGTGGTCAGTTGGACACTGAGCATTTCAGCAAGACCCAACAGCCAGACCCCTGGGAAAGATTTCTCTCTAATTCAGAGCCCTCCCCGTCTAGTGCCACATCACTAGCCATTGGGATATTTGCTACTAGCCATCGCATATAGAAAGAAGTGCTGGCCAGTTCCCTTCTCCCCAGGCATAGGCGGGTCATGGGGGATTTCTCCTATGAAGCTCTGATTACCCCTTACAATGTCTGACATATTATACACATACAAATTGCATATTTACTAGTTCTTTTCCAATCACCTTTGAATGATATGAATATTAAGTACCTTATATAGGTCATACACTGCACATGCACGGACATTTCATTGACAGGGCTTTTTTTGTTCAAGCTATTTTCATGTTCTTGTTCTCTTCTCTGATTGGTTTATTACCACTGATTATGCACACGTCACTTTTTCACCCTTTTCTCCACACAGGGGGTATTGGACTTGGACTTCTCTGTGGCTGGATGCACAGCCCCACTCAGCCAAGCTTCTCAGAAGCAGCAGGGATGAGGGACAATGGGAAGGCAGTTCAGGGAGCCATGAGAGATGAGCCCCCCCACACCAAGAATTTGTTTCACCCTGGACCCTGCTCACAAGAGACCCACAGCCAGGGCTTGTTCCTATGTCCTGGTCAGGAGACAGAGGAGGTTCCCACCCACCCTAGGATAACCTCTGCCCAGAGGGGGGTGCCCTGGTCACAGTGTGGAGATGGGAAACCCTGCTCCACTGAGACACCCTCCCCCCCCGCTTCCCACATCCTGTGAGATGATGGGGGATCTCCCATATAAGAGAGACAGAAAGGGGAGAAACATGGGGTAAGCAGTGTAGAGGTGAGACAGACACACACACACACAGAGACACTCATCCTCCCATAAAACATTTATTTAAACAAGAAAAATTAAGAAGTAGTGACAATGCACTGAAATATGGTTTTAGGATAAATATTTATTTCAATGCCCCCATCCTCCAAAAAAATACTGACTTGCAGTGAGGTACATTCAAAAACACTGAAGTGAGTTGAATTTATTATGATTATTGTTTATTATTTATTAGCTAGCTAGGTTATGGTTTTTTCAGTGTGGAAAATTGTGTGTTATTTTACGGGTTGAATGATGACTGAATGATATAACCAACCCACCCACCCTCCCCCAATGTCCATCACTAACTCTGGTAATTTTGTCATGTCCATTGCACAATATGATGCTGCCTACCCCTGGCGAAAGGGACCAAAGTGGGTAAAGTTACTTTTATGACAAAGTCTTTGTATGACCTGGGTCTAGGTTTTGACAAAAGGCAGTAAGTGAATGAGACAAACCAACTGGAGTTGAAGGGTGGGAGGGGATGATGAGGGGAAAAGTAAATCTCTTACAGATTGTGTCCTGCAATGGTTGAGAGACTGCAAGGATGTTGGTTCCATTGCTGAGAGATGCCTGAATGAGAGAGGAAAGAGAAGGTTTTAGTTAATTTACACTTGACCTGCGCTCCGAGGAGCTGAGAATGCCTAATGTGTCCCTGTGCCTCTCGGTCTCTTTCTGTCATGATGAAAACACAGTTCTGTGCTTTCAGAGTGGGGACACTGTTATAAATATGAAAGTCTGAAATCTTGTCTCTTTTCTCCTTTCCCCTGCCAGACACTCTGCCGTCTGCACTAGAGACAAAAAGAGGGGAACCCGTAGGAGCACACAGACAGGGTGAGATTGCAGGGGAGATGGTCTTTAAATTATGAGAAAATTCCGGTGAATACATGTTCATGGGATTGTAACTAAAGTTACCAACCAAATCAACAGTGGCCATGACACACACAGCCCTAAACATAACCCATTAAACAGCGAGGAGATCCAGGGACACTGGAACATGGGGGACTAGGGGGACAAGCCCACCCACTTTTTAACATGGGCATAGTTTGCGGGCAGGGGGCCATGTTGGAGCCCCAAACTGGAAGCCTTGGGCAGGTGTGGAGTGTCGCAGGCAGTGGCTGTGCTTCGTGGAAGTGCAGCTGATCAGCTTGCTCTTTTTAGTGCACATTCTTCCCGGTGCTGGCCCCTCTCAGTGGCCCCACCCCTGCTCCTCTTCCCATTGGACCCTCCACCTGCTCTGGGTGGTGCACACTGGAGAATAGGGACATGGGAAGGTGGAGGGTCAGGGGCTCTCCACTGTGGCCAAGGCTCCCAGCCTGGCCAGGGGCTGGGCTTCAGCGGGAAGATGAAGAGTGGAGCAGGGCCACGAAGAGGGCAGGGCCACAGGTGATGTGACCTAGTACCCCCCTCCCCAACTTCTACCAAGGTGCCAGAACACCTGGGAACATCCCAAGCTGACATCACACACATAGTCCTGACACCAACCTTAGTGCTGAGTTCATGCCCATGCTGCTGAACAGAAACGCTCTCCCTGAGCAGCACCGGAACAGATCTCCCTGCCCTGAAGGCTGACACATCCCTCTGCTTTCACATCCCTCTGCTTTACCCGGTGCAGGGGGTCTCCCCATCACTCTTCTCCAACATCCTGCCTTTCCTCTGGGCAGGGCTGGGCTCTCCCATTGGAGCTGCTCCCTGCTTCCTGGATTGGGGAGATGCTCTTCCTGTGATGCTAGCAGCTCCTCCCTTCTCTCTGGGCTGGGGATGGTGCTACCCCACCCAATGCAACCTCCTACTCTCTGGTATTAAGTGGCTCTTCCCCAATGCTGCACCTTCATGTCTGTTCTCAGCCCTGGGAGTGGAGACTGCATTAGAGGAGAGACATTCATTCTGGGGTTCAAAACTGTACCTGCTTCCTCTGCTCCCTCCTCACTAAAGCCTTTCTTGGTGTGTCTCTCCTGCTGGGAATGGAGCAGAACCAACAGGGGTAGCTGGGAGCTGAAGCTTATGCAAGCAAATTGGAAACTAATGAAGTGGGTCTCCTTACAGAGACTGAGGAACTGCAGTGATGTCTCTGCTCAGTCTCAGGTGCCCAGGACAGAGGCAGCTCCCTGGGATCCAGGCCTGTTCCAATCAGGACAGGGCTGCTGGGGAGTGTGGGAAATGGTCGCACCCCCCCCCCGTCCCCAGGGCTCAGCTCTGCCCCTAATGCTCTTATTCTCTCTCTCCCCAGCGAATGTGACTCTGGATCCAGACACGGCTCATCCTCAACTCGTCCTGTCTGAGGATCAGAAAAGTGTGAGACGGGGAGAGACATGGCAGCGACTGCCCAACAACCCTGAGAGATTTGACTGTTGGGCCTGTGTGCTGGGCTGTGAGGGATTCACCTCGGGGAGACATTGCTGGGAGGTGGAGGTGGGGGATGGAGGATACTGGGCTGTGGGGGTGGCCAGAGAGTCTGTGAGGAGGAAGGGAGGGATCAGCCTTAGCCCTGAGGGGGGGATCTGGGCTGTGCGGCGGTGGCTGGGTCAGTTCCAGGCTCTCACCTCCCCTGTGACCCCCCTGCCCCTAAGCCGGGTCCCCAGCAGGATCCGGGTTTGTCTGGACTGTGACCTGGGGCAGGT